TCTTTCCCTCCTGGAAAAGAGTGTCTCCCCATCGCCTATTGTGTGAGGAAATTGTTCCCATTCCCTTCTGACCAATGGGGTCATTTAGTGGAGCTTTCAGATGCCATTTTCCTCCATTTCTTTCATTCTGCATTCTTCCTTGCCTCTCTGGGAAGAATAGAGTATCTTGGCAGGGGAAATGAAAGTCATTTTATCCATACCGTGCCATAAGCTGAATCCTTGAAGTTAGAAGAGCCAGTTTTCAATTGCGAGGCATCCTCCAAAATTGGCCATCAAAACTCATTTCACCATCACAGGGCCTGCAAGACATTAAGCGGTATACAGTCCCAAGAAGAGTGTATAAAAACCTTGTCTCCATTAGTTAAACAACAGACATTGATTACAATCTTCCTCTTTTTCAAGCTGATGTTTAAAATGTATCATCAGGATATGGCTGTTTGGTTTTTGGTGACCACCCCAGAGGTTGAGTAACTCATTACATTTAAGTTGATTCCTCTTCTGTCTCTTACTGTGAAATTTAATATAGGAGATGTTGTTTGGTTAATTTTAATTTTTACGGGACAATGAGGAAATTCTAACATTTTGTCTTTCTCTTTTTGGTGCTCTCCTACAGCCTCCACAACGGCCAGTGCTCATCCAGGCATCCAAGAGGAAATCTGTCCTGGAAATGGATCGCCCAATTAGCTCACTGATCAGGAATGATGACCTGAAATCCACCTGGCCCTCAGGGCGTCCCATCAAGAGAAGTTTGGTCCAGGACTCCATAAGCAGCATCCAGGCACCAGGCAAGAGATCTGCTCAGATCTCCAGCCTGGCTTGTCTGAACCCACCAAAGAAACCCAGACTGAGTCCCATCCAATTTCCCAAGAAGAGCACCCTGAGACCAGATCCGGGGGTTTTCCAGAATCTGCAGCCTCCACCCAGTACCACCAGACCTGGGCCAACCGTGGCACCCCAAGTGACCAGGAAGACACCTGCCCAGGTGCAAAGCATTAACCTCCAGCCTCCACACAACACATCTTACCTGAATACTCTCCAGGCCTACACCAGAGTCCAGCCTCTACCCATCAAACATGTTCCAGGCCAGCCTCTCAGGATGCTCTTCAGGAGAGTAGGCAAAGCCTGGTGGAGCTGCACATACATGACATCTCCCTCTTTGTCTCCTGCTGAGAAGCCAACCCCTCCTGCTCAGAGCCCACCCATGGGCAAGAAGTCTGAGGAACACTGTGCCCCAGGCCCATGGAGTGTCCTCTATCAAGACCTTCAGATTTCTTCTTCCTCTGAAGAGAGTGAGTGAGAGGGAGACACCAATGACTACTAAAACATGTCCTTCAGCCCCAGGTACCCTGGAGGTGACTGTGGAACAGAGGAGGGGAAGTCCCAAGGAGTGGCCTGTCCCTGGTGAATCAGTGATTCTTCACCTCTGGTGGGGGGGTGGGGGGGTGAAACAATAGTGGAAACCCAGGTTTTGCTTAGGGACACACATGTGGAAAGCACTGCATTTTCTCCTGATGGAATTAGAGTCAACATGGAAATGGTGCTTATCAAACTGGAATGTCAATTCTTTTGCAAACTGAATCCTTTGTAGACAACTTTGAGACAATTCCACGAGAAAGTTTTAACTGTGGTGTAAATAGAAAGCTGTGGTGAGAATCTGGAATTGGTGGCAAATGTCTGAAAGTATTGCAGCTGCCTAAAGGGCCTAACTCTGCTTTACAGAATGACAGCAGGGCCCTGAGTTAAGATGAGATTTGTGGATTCTGTGGACTTCTTTCCATGTAAATCATACAGGGGACTGCTCCTGTGGCTTTGTTTATTATTATTATTTTTTCTTAGTAAACATTTTTCTAAAGCTTTGTTTAAAATTTTTCTTTCAATACCAATAAAATTCTAGGCAAAACAAGTCATGGCATACATGGTTTTTATTTTTCAGCCTTGAAGATCCCCTTGACATTTATTTTTCATCCTCAAAGCTTATGGAACTGGGAGGACAAAGGAGCTTGGAAGGACTGAGGCTATTCAGAAATATAGACTCTCAGGCACCCCTGCCCCCAAGACCACTCACATGGCAGTATATGCACATACATAGTGTGCCCTTGTCAATGTCAGGCATGGAGAATGTGATAAGCACTGTAAGCTGACTTGTTCTCACTGAGGCCCACATGCCACTCTGAGGGTGAATTTTAATAGCTACATATGCCTCAATCTTCAAAGGATCCCACGTTTTGGTTGTCTGTTCTGAAGCCCGGGTATTGGGATTTCAGCTGCTCTCCAGATGAGTGGATTAGGCGGCAATGTTTGAGAACCACTGGAGGTGGTGTGCCAGGATATCCCCTAAGTCCCATGTCATCTCCTTTCTCTAACATAGGACACAGTCTGACTAGGACCAAGGAAAACTATGTAGCTTTATAGAGGGAAATTCCTGGGAGGAGCCAATGGCTGCTCCCTCCATCCTAGAGAACACCTCTTTGGGGAGTATGTCTTCCTTCTGCAGAACTCTGTACCTCCAGGACAGAAAAACCACTGTGGTTGGAGGAAACCAAAAGGTCTTTTAAATATGTAGGAAATAGAGAGGCTCCCCTTTGGGCTACACCCAGAGCCTGCTACAGCTGTGGATATGAACCTGTCTCCAGTGACCTACGTCACAGTTTATGCCTTTTCCTCCCTTGTCTTCTGACGAAAGCTGGCCTTTTACTGAATGATGGACTCTTGACAAAATCCAAATAGCAGAGAGAGGCAGGAAGATGGCGGAACAGTAAAACGCGGAGATCACCTTCCTCCCCGCAGATACACCAGAAATACATCTACACGTGGAACAGCTGCTACAGAACACCTACTGAATGCTGGCAGAAGACCTCAGACCTCCCAAAAGGCAAAAAACTCCCCACCTGCCTGGGTAGGGCAAAAGAAAAAAGAATAAACAGAGACAAAAGGATAGGGACAGGACCTGCACCAGTGGGAGGGAGCTATGAAAGAGGAAAGGTTTCCACAGATTAGGAAGCCCCTTCGCGGGTGGAGACTGCGGGTGGCGGAGGGGGGAGCTTCGGAGCCACGGAGGAGAGCGCAGCCACAGGGGTGCGGAGGGCAAAGCGGAGAGATTCCCGCACAGAGGATCGGTGCCGACCGGCACTCACCAGCCCGAGAGGCTTGTCTGCTTACCCGCTGGGGTGGGCGGGGCTGGGAGCTGAGGCTTGGGCTTCTTCGGTCCGAGCGCAGGGAGAGGACTGGGGTTGGCGGTGTGAACACAGCCTGCAGGGGGTTACTGCACCACAGCTAGCCGGGAGGGAGTCCGGGGAAAAGTCTACCTGCCGAAGAGGCAAGAGACTTTTTCTTCCCTCATTGTTTCCTGGTGCGCGAGGAGAGGGGATTAAGAGCGCTGTTTAAAGGAGCTCCAGAGACGGGCGCAACCCGCGGCTAGCAGAGCAGACCCCAGAGACGGGCATGAGACAGTAAGGCTGCTGCTGCTGCTGCCACCAAGAAGCCTGTGAGCGAGCACAGGTCACTATCCACACCTCCCTTCCAGGGAGCCTGTGCAGCCCACCACTGCCAGGGTCCCGGGATCCAGGGACAACTTCACCGGGAGAACGCACGGCGCGCCTCAGGCTGGTGCAACGTCCTGCTGACTTCCGCCGCAGGCTCACCCCACACGCCGTACCCCTCCCTCCCCCTGGCCTGAGTGAGCCAGAGCCCCCGGAGCAGCTTCTCCTTTAACCCCGTGCTGTCTGAACGAAGAACAGACGCCCTCCGGCGACCTACACACAGAGGCAGGGCCAAATCCAAAGCTGAGCCCCGGGAGCTGTGCAAACAAAGAAGAGAAAGGGAAATCTGTCCCAGCAGCCTCAGTAGCAGCAGATTAAAGCTCCACAATCAACTTGATGTACCCTGCATCTGTGGAATACATGAATAGGCAACAAATCATCCCAAATTGAGGATGTGGACTTTGAGAACAAGATATATTATTTTTTCCCCTTTTCCTCTTTTTGTGAGTGTGTATGTATATGCTTCTGTGTGAGATTTTGTCTGTATAGCTTTGCTTTCCCCATGTGTCCTAGGGTTCTATCCGTCTGTCTTTTTTTTCTTAAAAAAATTTTTTTTCCTTAATAATTATTATTTTTTTAATAATATTTTATCCTTTCTTTCCTTCCTTCCTTCCTGTCTTTCTCCTCCTTCCTTCCTCCCTCCCTTCCCTCCCTTCCTTCCTTTCTCTTTCTTTCTTTCTACATTTTCTCCCTTTTATTCTGAGCCGTGTGGATGAAAGGCACTTGGTGCTGCAGCCAGGAGTCAGTGCTGTGCCTCTGAGGTGGGAGAGCCAACTTCAGGACGCTGGTCCACAAGAGACCTCCCAGTTCCACATAATATCAAATGGTGAAAATCTCCCAGAGATCTCCATCTCAAGACCAGCACCCAGCTTCACTCAACGACCAGCAAGCTACAGTGCTGGACACCCTATGCCAAACAACTAGCAAGACAGGAACACAATCCCACCCATTAGCAGACAGGCTGCCTAAAATCATAATAAGGCCATAGACACCCCAAAACACACCACCAGACGTGGACCTGCCCACTAGAAAGACAAGATCCAACCTCATCCACCAGAACACTGGCACTAGTCCCCTCCACCAGGAAGCCTACACAGCTCACTGAACCAACTTTAGCCACTGGGGACATACACCTGAAACAACAGGAACTACGCACCTGCAGCCTGTAAAAAGGAGGCCCCAAACACAGTAAGATAAGCAAAATGAGAAGACAGAAAAACACACAGCAGATGAAGGAGCAAGATAAAGGCCCACCAAACCTAACAAATGAAGAGGAAATAGGCAGTCTCCCTGAAAAAGAATTCAGAATAATGATAGTAAAGATGATCCAAAATCTTGGAAATAGAATAGAGAAAATGCAATAAACATTTAACAAGGACCTAGAAGAACTAAAGATGAAACAAGCAACGACGAACAACACAATAAATGAAATCAAAAATACTCTAGATGGGATCAATAGCAGAATAACTGAGGCAGAAGAACAGATAAGTGACCTGGAAGATAAAATAGTGGAAATAACTACTGCAGAGCAGAATAAAGAAAAAAGAATGAAAAGAACTGAGGACAGTCTCCGAGACCTCTGGGACAACATTAAATGCACCAACATTCGAATTATAGGGGTTCCAGAAGAAGAAGAGAAAAAGAAAGGGACTGAGAAAATATTTGAAGAGATTATAGTTGAAAACTTCCCTAATATGGGAAAGGAAATAGTTAATCAGGTCCAGGAAGCACAGAGAGTCCCATACAGGATAAATCCAAGGAGAAACACGCCAAGACACATATTAATCAAACTGTCAAAAATTAAATACAAAAGAAACATATTAAAAGCAGCAAGGGAAAAACAACAAATAACACACAAGGGAATCCCCATAAGGTTAACAGCTGATCTTTCAGCAGAAACTCTGCACACCAGAAGGGACTGGCAGAACATATTTAAAGTGATGAAGGAGAAAAAGCTACAACCAAGATTACTGTACCCAGCAAGGATCTCATTCAGATTTGATGGAGAAATTAAAACTTTTACAGACAAGCAAAAGCTGAGAGAGTTCAGCACCACCAAACCAGCTTTACAACAAATTCTAAAGGAACTTCTCTAGGCAAGAAACACAAGAGAAGGAAAAGACCTACAATAACAAACCCAAAACAATTTAGAAAATAGGAATAGGAACATACATATTGATAATTACCTTTAATGTAAATGGATTAAATGCTCCCACCAAAAGACACAGACTGGCTGAATGGATACAAAAACAAGACCCATATATATGCTGTCTACAAGAGACCCACTTCAGACCTAGAGACACATACAGACTGAAAGTAAGGGGATGGAAAAAGATATTCCATGCAAATCGAAAGCAAAAGAAAGGTGGAGTAGCAATTCTCATATTAGACAAAACAGACTTTACAATAAAGACTTAAGAGACAAAGAAGGACAGTACATAATGATCAAGGGATCTATCCAAGAAGAAGATATAACAATTGTAAATATTTATGCACCCAACATAGGAGCACCTCAGTACCTAAGGCAAATACTAACAGCCATAAAAGGGGAAATCGACAGTAACATATTCATAATAGGGGACTTTAACACCCCACTTTCACCAATGGACAGATCATCCAAAATCAAAATAAATAAGGAAACACAAGCTTTAAATGATACATTAAAGAAGATGGACTTAATTGATATTTATAGGACAATCCATCCAAAAACAACAGAATACACATTTTCCTAAAGTGCTCATGGAACATTCTCCAGGAT